AAAATTGTCTAGAAACTACAAATTTTATCGGATGTTGATGATCTTGATTTAAAATTACTAAGAGATCCATCAAAGTCGATTTTTGAATTTTTAATTGTTTATTTTTTTCTTGTTACTCAAAAATTTGACAAATTACAATATTTTTAGAAAAAATCATGTTAGTTTTTTTATTTTTCCATTACACATGATCGAAATCAATTTAAATTACTCTAGTATGACCACCGGACAATTAATAAAGCATAATACAATTTATTTAAATTGTTGCAAACAATGTTAATTAACAAATAGATTACTTCGGACCTTATTCATAAAAAAAATTGGTTTTTTTGCAGACAAGTTAAAATTTATGTCTAATTTAGTAAAAAACTATTTTACAGTTAAAAATTATCATTAATATTAACAATTATATAAACAATAATCAACTTCCTTTTGTATTTGTAAACATTTTCGTCATTTTTCAACCTTTAAATATTTATATCATATGTACATTCTTTCAAAAACTTAAAAAATTTATTTGCTTAAACAATTACATTTGTTATAAACAAATTTTTCATTTTTTAACAAATAATTAGCTTTTTTCATCAAACAAAATTTTTTCCTTTTTTATATTTACTATCATAAAAAAGAACTCCTTAATGAAATGGGAATACTATAAATTATTCATTTAATTCTAACGAACATTATAAGTTAAGAAATATTTAACTTTGTTATTTTTTCACAGAAAAATATATTTATTTATATGCATTTAAATGTAAACTGTTTTAACTGAATAATGGTTTACTTCATTAAAAATATAAATGGGCAATTCCACGTGAGATTTCAGTCGACCTCTTAAAATCGGCCAAAAATATTTTTTTTCTATTCTGTATTGAAAAAAAACAGATACGTATTTTTTTATTATTTTTTTGGAGGCCAAATTTTTGAGTTATGAATTTTCAAAATTTTCGCTTTTTAAATGTAGGTATATTTTTAATGTCAGATAACTCAAAAAATATTGCTTCTTTTCATTTTTTGACAAGAGAAAAAAAGTTTTGTTTTTCTCTCTACTTTTGAATAATCATAACAACAAATTTTTTTTTCATTTTTTATTAAAAAAATAAAAAAATTTTATAAACAAATTAATTTTTTTTAACTTTGGGTATGATAAATTTTTAATTTTCTTTTTTTAAAACATACCTGGAAATGATAAGAAGGTTTTGCAAAAAGTTTCAGAGTGGGCCTGACAAGTTTGATGGGTCCAAAAAAATAATTAAGCTCTCCGTGCAGGTCGCACGCACGTGGCACAATTTGATTTTTTTACAATTTATTATTAAAAATTGTTTAGAGCCTAAAAATTCAATAATAATCAAAATCCGATAAAATTTGTAGGCTCTAGACAATTTTTAATAATAAATTGTAAAAAAATCCCATTGTGCCACGAGCGTGCGACCTGCATGGACAGCTTAATTATTTTTTTGGATCCATCAAACTTGTCAGGCCCACTCTGAAACTTTTTGCAAAACCTTCTTATCATTTCCAGGTATGTTTTAAAAAAAGAAAATTAAAAATTTATCATACCCAAAGTTAAAAAAAATTAATTTGTTTATAAAATTTTTTTATTTTTTTAATAAAAAATGAAAAAAAAAATTTGTTGTTATGATTATTCAAAAGTAGAGAGAAAAACAAAACTTTTTTCTCTTGTCAAAAAATAAAAAGAAGCAATATTTTTTTAGTTATCTGACATTAAAAATATACCTACATTTAAAAAGCGAAAATTTTGAAAATTCATAACTCAAAAATTTGGCCTCCAAAAAAATAATAAAAAAATACGTATCTGTTTTTTTTCAATACAGAATAGAAAAAAAATATTTTTGGCCGATTTTAAGAGGTCGACTGAAATCTCACGTGGAATTGCCCAAATATTTCTTAACTTATAATGTTCGTTAAAATTAAATGAATAATTTATAGTATTCCCATTTCATTAAGGAGTTCTTTTTTATGATAGTAAATATAAAAAAAAGGAAAAAATTTTGTTTGATGAAAAAAGCTACTTATTTGTTTAAAAATGAAAAGTTTGTTTATAACAAATGTAATTGTTTAAGCTAATAAATTTTTTATGTTTTTGAAAGAATGTACATATGATATAAATATTTAAAGTTTAAAAAATGACGAAAATGTTTACAAATACAAAAGAAAGTTGATTATTGTTTATATAATTGTTAATATTAATGATAATTTTTAACTGTAAAATAGTTTTTTACTAAATTAGACATAAATTTTAACTTGTCTGCAAAAAAACCAATTTTTTTTATGAAGAAGGTCCGAAGTAATCTATTTGTTAATTAACATTGTTTGCAACAATTTAAATAAATTGTATTATGGTTTATTAATTGTCCGGTGGTCATACTAGACTAATTTAAATTGATTTCGATCATGTGTAATGGAAAAATAAAAAAACTAACATGATTTTTTCTAAAAATATTGTAATTTGTCAAATTTTTGAGTAACAAGAAAAAAATAAACAATTCAAAATTCAAAAATCGACTTTGATGGATCTCTTAGTAATTTTAAATCAAGAACATCAACATCCGATAAAATTTGTAGTTTCTAGACAATTTTCAATAGTAAGTTGAAAAAAAATCCCACTGTTCATCGCGCTGGAGTGCGCGAGCGGACGGACAAATTTTACTTATTACACTATATCTTTGGCAAATTGTTTCAGCTCATTTTCAGACTTATATCTTCTTTCAGGGGAATTCCTAAGCTTTCATTTGAGATTATTAAAAAGAAAATAAAAACTACCGAACTTGCACAAAATTGCAAAAAACTATTTATTTTAAAAAATTTTTTTTTATTATGTCGACAGTATGAAGTATGAGTGTGTATTGTAAAGAGTGGGGACGAGTTCACAGTCCTTTAAAACTAAAGCATAAGCAGGTGTGGTCAGATTAATTAGTCGCTACTCAAAGTGATAGCACGTTTGTCTTCCAATAAGGCTCAGTGAAGAACTTGAAGGATTGATTATCTCCAAGTTTTTGTACTTTTACTTGTTAAATAAATAAAGTAGAGTTGGCTCTCAGTTGAGTAACCAACTCACCAAAAATAATAATATTAGTTGTTTCTTACGGCGACAACATAATTGGTGGCAGCGCTAGGATATTCAATAAAATTTGGAAGTTCATCCAGATTTTGAGTATCCAGAACCCAGAGTTAGTTCCAGATAAACAAAGTGATTATCTAAAGTGAACGAGAAAGTAAAGAAAAAGCAGAGATCTACAGAGTGATATCCAGAGTTATCCAGATCTACAGAGAGGTATCCAGAGAGTTATCCAGATCTACAGAGTGATATCCAGAGAGTTATCCAGATCTACAGAGAGGTATCCAGAGTTATCCAGATCTACAGAGGTATCCAGAGAGTTATCCAAATCTACGAAGCAGAGTTCGAGATTATCCAGAACTACGATCCAGACCAACAGTAAGGTATATAAAAGAAAATTACGAATCTTTAGAACAAGAGTATAAGTCCACTTTACGTACGTTGAACGGCGACCTTCATAGGGTGTGGCTAAGTTTGTTTTAAAGCGTTGGTATACTCCGTGATTTTATGAGTATTGCCATCGACAATAAACTAAAAAAAAACGAATTTCATATTCTTGTGTACTCCTTGTAGCAGGATTGCAAGAAATGAAATTTGAAATTAGAAAACGCGAACGGATATAAAATAAAAATTGTACGAAACGATATAGGAAATTTATAAAATTAAACTGGATTTAAATTCATATAGAGAAAGTAGGGAAAACGAAACAATAGACACAGACAGTTCATCCCTTTCAATATCACTGACTGACAGACTAAAATTAGACAATATTCTAAACATCATGCCAGAAACATCAAGTGCTTCAAATGACCATTTGCAAAATATTCTTGCAAAAATGGAGAGATTCGAAACGAGATTAGTAGCGATGGAACAACCAGTTAGAAGAGAGGAAGGTTTACCCTTAAATGAAAACGAATTAAATAGCGATCACGAAGAATTAGAAGAAGTTACAGAATATGATTTTGGGAAAAGCATAAAATTAGTACCAGAATTTAACGGAAGCGGTTTAGAAAATTTCATTCATCTAATAAGATTATCTAAAAGAAAAACGAAAAGAAATGAAAGATTAACATTACTGCATGCAATAATTGCACAAAAATTAGTAGGAAGAGCAGCAAATACAATTAGAGCAGATGCAGTTAAAACCTTTGCCGATTTTTTTGAGAGATTAAGAATTTTATTTGGAGAAAAAGATAGTTTAGAATCACTTCAAAGGGCTCGCGATTCATGTATAATGGGCAAAAATGAAGGTTTAGAGTCATTCACCTCAAGATTTATGCAGTGTCAGGATAAAATCAGGCAGTCTATAGATAGTATGAATATAACACCTCAAGAAACTTTCGTAAGACATCTTAAGAAATATACGTGAAGAATTTGAAATTAGAATCCGTCCTCAGAAACCGAAAACGCTGAATGAATGTTTTAATATTGCCTCAGAAATTAACGTGAATTTGAAAGATAAAAGAAGAATTGACAATTTTACCAGAAACCCAAGAAATGAAAACCCAGTACCAACACCAAGATTTAGCAAACCGAGAAATTTAGAAAAATTCAACCATTGTAAAAATTTAGGACATACAGAGGATGTTTGTAGAGGAAAATTAAAAGGTTTACCACCACGTCAAGAAAAAACTCAAAATTTTCAGTCACGACCAATCAACACCAAACCACCAGACCGAGTGCAGCTAAGCGAAGAATTTTCTTTATCGGAGAACCCGCTAAGCACGACTTTCCACCGATACCAAGAGAACGAAGAAGACACGACACACCTATTGTGGCTTTAAAATTTGATAAGTTAGCATCAGGAAAATTTGTAGTTGATACAGGATCAAATATATCAATTATAAAAGAAAGTATGTTAGAAGGGAAAAACTTTAAAAAATACGCGCCTCATAATGTTTTAACAATCGGAAACAATCCCATAATGTTCGAATATTCTATTTGTTTAAAACTTTACGGTAAAGAATCAGTTTTTCAAGTTACAAAAGATGAAAATGCATTTAGAGAAAACGGTTTAATTGGAATGAATTTACTTTACGATCAAAAATTTAAAATTGACTTGGAAAAAGGTATTTTAAATTTAGGGCCTAAAATACTTCATCCGCAATCTAGTGCAGATAAGAGAGATAAAATCTGTTTCATTAATTTTGAAGGAGGATATTCAGCAGTTACAAAATACAATTATGAAGGAAAACCGATTTTACCACTAAATACAGCAAAAATTGAAAGTATGTATGATGCTTATGAAGACTTATGGATAGATTCTATAAATAAATTGAGTGACGAAAAAATTTATCAATTCAACAGTAGTGAAAGAATTAAAGAATTACTATCGAAAACACGACTAGACCACATAAAAGAAGGAAAAGAAGATTTACTAAGAATTATAACAGAATTTCACGACATTTTTCCATTAGGAAACGACCCTTTACCTTTAACTAAATTAACAGAGCATACAATTAGAACGACAGACGATCAACCTGTAAATACAAAACAATATAGATATCCACCTATGTTACAGGAAGAAGTTTACGAACAAATTAACGAAATGTTAAAGAAAAATATTCTTCGAGAAAGCATGTCTCCTTTCAATTCACTGTTGTGGATAGTTCCAAAGAAAAAAGACGCTTCAGGCAAAGTAAAATGGCGAATTGTTATAGATTATCGGAAACTAAATGAAAAAACTATTTTAGATAAATATCCTTTGCCATGTATTGATGAGATTATTCAACAATTAGAAAATTCTAAATTCTTTTCTTGCTTTGATCTTGCTTCCGGATTTCATCAAATAGGAATGAATCCCAAGGACAAAGAAAAAACAGCTTTTAGCACAAACGAAGGTCATTATGAATATAATAGAATGCCTTTTGGTTTAAAAAATGCCCCTCCAACATTTCAAAGAATGATAAATAATGGATTAAAAGGACTAATAGGTAATGGATGTTTTGCTTATATTGACGATATTATTGTTTACGGAAGAACTTTGGAAGAACATAATAAAAATTTGAAGAATTTGTTTATAAGACTACGACAAGTTGGACTCAAATTACAGCCTGATAAATGCGAATATTTGCGACCAGAATTGGAATATTTAGGTCATGTTATTACAAAAGAAGGTATAAAGCCAAATCCAGATAGAATTGAAAAAGTGAAGAATTATCCAAGACCAAAAACTCAAAAACAGATTAAGCAATTTTTAGGGCTTATTGGTTATTACAGGAAATTTATTAAAAACTTCTCTAAAATAGCAAATCCATTAACTAAACTACTACGAAAGGAAATTACATTTGAGTGGACACAGAAAGAAGAAAACGCATTTTCCGAATTAAGAGATAAATTAATATCAGCACCGATTCTACAATTTCCAGATTGGAATCAAGTTTTCGTTTTAACAACTGATGCATCAAATGAAGGATTAGGAGCAATTTTATCACAAGGACAAATCGGAGAAGATAAACCAATAGCATTTGCTTCAAGAACATTAAATAAAGCTGAAATAAATTACACGACGACTGAAAAAGAATTATTAGCAATTTTATGGGCAGTTAAACATTTTAGACACCATCTTTTTGGACGAAGATTTAAAATTGTAACAGATCACAAACCCTTAGTTTGGTTATTTAATGTAAAAGATCCGACAAGCAGATTAATGAGATGGAGACTAAAATTGGAAGAATATGATTATGAAATTATTTATAAGAAAGGAGTTGCTAACACAAATGCTGACGCCTTATCGCGAATTCCAAGGGTTCAGATGACAACAGATGGTACATATGACACGTTAGAACAGCAGAACGCGCGTACTACAGGTGTAAACGAAGAAAATGATAACATGGAAATAGATACGCAAACAGAAGTCGACAATTCAATAGTTGATGACGAAAATAAAAACGAAAATATGGAAATAGATTCACAGACGGAAGAAAGTGATCAATCAATAATTAAAGATGAATTTAAAGTAATAAAGACTATAAAATTGATTACAGGTACTAAAGAAAAACGACAAGGATATGAAAATTATTCTCTTTTGGAACCGATAAGTAATTTGAGAAGTATACTTAAACCTATAAGAGACACAAATTATATTTGGAAAATATTAGTTTATGGAAGGAAAACAATACCAAAAGAAAGAGCTATATACAAAGTAGTAAGAGATTTTAACGAGGAAACAGAAGTACAATGGATAAGAGATATACCTCAAATAGAAAATGATGACGCGAATAAAATACGATTGAAAAGAAATAAAATAGAACAAACCGGACAGTTAATCATAAGACAAGAATTTGGACCGACAAAGATAAAAGAAATTTGGATAACGAACGAAGAAACAGAAGAAGATAACAAAATAAAAATTAGTCCTCAGGTGACAAATGACCAATTAACAGAATTCTTAGAAAAAGAAACTAGAGAAGAAAGAATAAGAATTATTTACGAAGATATAGATGAAAGCAAAATATCAAGAATTCTTTTTAAAATGTGGAAAGGCGGTGATAAGGAAATATATTTAATAAAGAAACACATTGAAACAAATAGAAGAAAAATTATAGCAGAAGCACATGAAGGAATATTAGGAGGACACTATTCTAAGGATATTACAGTGCAGAAGATAAGAAATATGACAAACTGGCCCAACATTACAAAAGATGTTGAAGACTTTATCAAAACATGTGATCTATGTCAACGATTTAAACAAAATGAAAGAAAGCAGGAATATTATGAAGAATCAGATATACCAGAAGGACCAAATGATAAAATATCAATAGATCTAGTGGGACCATTAAATGAAACTACGAGCGGAAATAAATACATTTTGGTGATTCAAGATTTTTTGACTAGATATGTGCATTTGGAATCATTGAAGGACAAATCAGCAACTTTAGTCATAGAGGCTATGTGGAAAGGATATTTAAAAACGAACGGAAAACCCTTAGAAATACTTACTGATAATGGAAAAGAATTTATTAATAACGAATTCTCAGATTTAATGACCGAATTAAAAATAAAACATGTAAAAACTTCAGTTTATCACCCACAAAGTAATGGAAAGAATGAAAGATCACACAAGAAGATTAACGAATATTTAAGTATTTATGCGCAAAAAGATGAATGGTATAAAGAGTTACCCAAAGCAATGTTAACATACAATATGACAATAAACAGAATTACAGGATTTTCTCCGTTTGAACTACAGAATGGCAGAAAAGCAAGAGAAGCATTTGAAACAGCAAACAAAATAACGAACCTCGTAAAGAAAAACGAATTAAAACAATTAGAACATGAAAACAAATTACATGTTGCAAGAAGAAATATCAATGAATCTCAAAGAAAACAAATTCTGACTGATAAAAAGACAATTGCAGTTGGGGAATAAATATTCATAAGAAATCATATGAGAAAAAAGGGAGACCCCTTGTGGTTAGGACCACATGTAGTTTTGCATAAAATTGGGAATACATACACGATAGAAAATAATAGAAAGGTACATAGAGAAGATATTAAGAAATATTTTGTTTTAGATAGTGAAGAAGACGATTTGGATGACAACAACAATGGCAATTCTGATGAAGATTTTGATAATGAACCTCGTGCTGGTTGTAGCAGAAACTGATTATAATATAACGGAATTAAAAGGCAATATATATAAGGAAGAAATAGGAAAAGCGTACTTATATTCAGAGGAATGGAAATTGATGATTATGATAAATGTTACGAGAACTGAAGATAGAATAGTTGTTATTCAAAAAATATTAACACAGGTTAGTCATCTATGCATAACTAAATGTCAAGAAAATTACGAAATTAAAACTATCGCTTCTAGATTTAGTCGTTTAAGGGAAAAAGAATCACTATTATATAACATAATGGGTAAACAAAGAGTTAAAAGAGGACTTTTAAATATAATAGGAGACGCATCAAAAATATTATTTGGGACATTAAGCGATTCAGATTTAAATATAATTAATAAAGAATTTGATCAATTATATAATGATAATAAGGTTTCAAATGAAGCAATAAAAAACAATACTAAAGTAATAAAAATGATCTTAGATTCGTCATCTCAAGATTATAAGTTCTTAGAAAATAAACTTGTAGCAGACTACGATATGTTCAACCAAATGAAAGCAGAAATAAATAATAACAAAAAGAGCTTGTTTATACATCAAAAATTATTGATAGTCGAAACTTTAATAGAAGAAATGAACGATGACATAGATTTAGCAATAAGTTCAATTAATCTAGGGAAACATGGTATTATAAATCCTCAAATTCTAACGCCTAAAATGTTGCATGAAACTATTGATGGATTTGAAAAGGAATTTAGAACTAAATATCACATCGAAAGCGATAAGAGAAACTATCAACATATTATAGACATTAGTGATATCACTACAATTATTAAAAATCATCACTTAGTATACATAATTAAAATTCCGATTTTAGATGAAGAAGAAATGACAATAGTAAGAAATTTACCAACTGAATACGTACCGATTGACAAGACAGATTTAGAAAAATGTAGTACTATAGAAGACTATAAAATTTGTAAGAGAAATCAACCGAATTATTTAACGTATCAAACAGAAAATTGTGACGCGGATTTAATAAAAATGTCTAATAAGAATTGTCTAAAATCTCCATTACTACTCAGCGATGAAACGTTTATGAAAACAGAAATAGGTTATATATGTGTATTTGTAAAAGAGACAGTTATAGATATAGTGTGCGAAAATAATAATTATAATGGTAAAAAATTGGGTACTTTTCTAATAACAGGGAATAGATGTAAGCTATATACAAATGAAATAAAACTAGATCTTAATATATCGATAAGAAATATAACTAAATATGTCGAGGACACAATCACAATAGAATTAGATTTTGAGAAAGATGACTTAAAATTAATTAACGATAAATTACCAAAATTACCAAGATTTCTTAATTTAGATAGAATAAAAGAAGCGAAAACTAGTATGGAAGATACTGAAACGATGTTAGATAAAATAAAAACACATGAAAGATTTAAGAGTTGGACAGAAAAGTCTTTGACGTATTTAGAGTATATAGGATATGCAAGTATTGTAATTATAATCTTCTATATATTGTTTAAAACGGGAATTATACAGTGTATTTTAAATTTGATAAGATATTGTATTGGGAATTGTTACACAAATTGTAGTTTTAATAATACAGGTCCAACTCAGCATGTAGCTATTGAGAAAAATCTGCAAGGATTAAATTTTGAATTATATTCGAAACCTCCTAGAAGGAAACCTGCATCGAATTTTTAAATAAAAGTTAATTTAAAAATCATCGACAATTTAAAGGGGGGAGGTGTCGACAGTATGAAGTATGAGTGTGTATTGTAAAGAGTGGGGACGAGTTCACAGTCCTTTAAAACTAAAGCATAAGCAGGTGTGGTCAGATTAATCAGTCGCTACTCAAAGTGATAGCACGTTTGTCTTCCAATAAGGCTCAGTGAAGAATTGGAAGGATTGATTATCTCCAAGTTTTTGTACTTTTACTTGTTAAATAAATAAAGTAGAGTTGGCTCTCAGTTGAGTAACCAACTCACCAAAAATAATAATATTAGTTGTTTCTTACGGCGACAACAATTATATAAATAAAATATTTTAAAAGTACACAAAAAAACCTTTCTAAAACACTACTTACTTTTTTTAATTGAATAATTTAAGTAGAAACTACAAATGTTTAAAGAATGCATGTTCGAGTTGAAGCTGAAATTTCAACCCCCCACCCTTTTGATTGGGGTGGGGGGTTGGACCTGTAAATTGGTGTAGTAACTTGTACCTACTAGGGTAACATATTTCCAAAGTATAAAGGAAATCCAAGAACTTTTTTTTATTTTTGGGGCAGTTCAGGAATAATGCCTCAAAAATGCACTACAATATATCCAAGGTTTTAACACATAAGTGTTGTCAAAAATTCAAAAAAATTTCTTACTCGGGGCTATTTTCGATCGTTTATCATGAATCTGATATTAGAAATTAATTTTCAAAATTTTGGATCCAATATGGCAGGTTCCAAATTTTAATTTTCTACATTTTCGAAGTAAATATTCTAAAACAACGTCAAGGGCGATATTTGGAAGCGCTATTTACACTCAGAGAAAAAGTTTATTTCACTTAACCAAACTGTTTAATTAACCTATTCTATTTGTCACGATAAAACAATTTTGTTGATTTAAATAAAAATTTGGTTTATTTTAATAAATACGTAAAATTTGTTTGGTTATTGGAAAGAAATTTTTTATTTGAAGTTGTTTGTTTCATTTAACCAAATTTGTGTTTTGAATAGAGAATATTGTTTAGTTAAATACAGTTTGTTCGACACAACACACAAATTTGTTTGATTCAACCAAATCATTTTATTTGAGTCAAACAAACATATTTGCTTGTCTCAAAAAGTACATGTGTGAATTTAAAAATGGCGATCTCACTTGTCTACAGTCCGCGTTCGCGTCAAATTTATTTGTTAAATCGGTAAATCAAAGAAAAAAAATTATAAGTGTCGGTTAAATAAATATTAAATACATTGTGTTCATTGACTTACTGCATATTTAATTTGTACCAGTGAGAAGAATATTTACAAAAAGGTTTTGTGAAGTTTTCAGTTTGTTGTTTCGAATAAACTTTTTTCTGAGTGCACGTATAAAAATCATAATTATAATATGTTTAATGTAATATTTCAAATGTTTTTTATAATTAAGTAATTTTGTTTATATGAAGAAATAAATATATAATATTTTACTTAATTGTTATTTATTTTCCTCTAATAATGTTTGAGTTTCCTAATTTAATATTTTCTAGTATACATATTATTGGTTAATTTATAATTTATTATATGTATAATTTTAAAATATCAATAATTATATAATAAATTATAAATTAACCAATAATACGTACTAGAAAATATTAAATTAGGAAATTCAAATATTATTAGAGGAAAATAAATAACAAAATTAAGTAAACAAAAATATTTATTTAAATGAACCAAATATCTTTACTAAAACTATTTATTTGAATCAAACAAATCTTTTCTCTTGAAATAAACAAATTTTTTAGTTAAATATTAAATAAAATTTTTTGGTTAAGTGTAATAAGCATTTGGTTAATACAAATAAACGTATTGGAAGAAATTTTTTGGTTGAATCAAACAAACGTTTGGTTGACTGTATAGCAATGCATTTATTTGGTTGATTCAACCAAAATTTGGTTGATTCGAACAAATTTTTTTCTGAGTGTACGAATCTAATGTTAAAATTTTATTTTTCAAATTATTCGATCCACTATGACGGATTCAAAATTATGATTTTCTACATTTTTAAGTAAATAGTCTAAATATTAATTTATAGATTAATATTTCCAAAAAATAATTATTGGGATGTTTTAGAAACTCTTTTATAGAAATTTAACTTTTTATACCTCTGCTCTTAAAAATTGATTATTAAAGGAATATTTAAAAAAAAATTTTGAATCCGCCATGCCATATTAGATTCGGTAATTTAAAAAATAAATTTTTAACATTAGATTCGTAAATAGCGCTTCCAAATATCGCCCTTGACGTTGTTTTAGAATATTTACTTCGAAAATGTAGAAAATTAAAATTTGGAACCTGCCATATTGGATCCAAAATTTTGAAAATTAATTTCTAATATCAGATTCATGATAAACGATCGAAAATAGCCCCGAGTAAGAAATTTTTTTGAATTTTTGACAACACTTATGTGTTAAAACCTTGGATATATTGTAGTGCATTTTTATGACCCACTTTAATCATCCGCCATTTTAAAAATTTTTCAAAATTAAATTTTTGGCAAAGTGCTATCTTATAGTGCAGCTAAAAATGAAGGCAAATGTGACCTGGAGAATTTTTTGCATGAAAATTAAAAAAGTTATGAATTTTTTTTTAAAAAGTGCATTTTTCCTATGTATTTTTAATGGGAAATTTCGATGGATCTCTGGCACGTGTTAATATTAATCAATCGGCTTCAAATTTTGGGAAATTTTTTTTTATTTTATTGGAACTAAACTGGGGGGTGGCGTAAACAAAATTCGAAAGTCGCATTGTTACGGACACCCTATTGTGCACGTTTGTACGCTCGCTTCATATTCCGCCTCGCTACGGAGTTTAATTCCGCGGTACGCGCTCCCACTAAAGTCGCAATATCTCGAGAACTATTAGAGTCTCCATAAATTTTTTTTATGAAATGAAAGGTGAAATTACAAGGAATCGATATTTACTTATTAGAAAATTCAAAAATTAGGCCAACTGAACTAAAAATTAATTCAAAAAATTTTTTTGACTTTTTTTTGACAAATTTTGGAAATTTTTTTTTGTTCATAATATCAA